CTCCGCCTACTACGGGACGATATGAAAACTCCTTTGAGATCCAAGCAAAAAAATGTGTCTTTTCACGTGAAAAGAAAGGAAGGTCATGATGTGTCAGTTTCCCCTGTATTTAGAAGAGCTTCTACACTAAGGCTGATTTTTGATGCAGAACCGTCGAAATTTTAAAAATGAAGCGAGAAGAATCAGCAGCAGAAGGTAAAAAGCACAACTGAAATTTGAACGACGTAAAGTAATGTGAAGGGTGAAAAAGACAATTCGAAAAAAACCTTGCTTGAAACGTAAAGATGGAACTGAACTGTGTGAACTGACTTCACCAATTACAGTTTCAAAAGGGGGTTAAAAAACGTTAGCAAAAAAGTAAAAGAAAAATACATAATCGAAATTGAAACAGACACGAAGATCATGAAAAGTTTCGGCAAGCTACATTTACGGTAGTGCAGAAGGAGTAGAATAGGAATGGGCATTAATTGTCACAGTGGAAGATACTTGAATCATCAGTCACAGTTAGATATGAAATGCACATCAAGGACAAAGAATCCACTCTTGTTCCCCACCCCCCTCCCTTCCTCCTGAACGGAATCGACAAAATTTTTCTAAGCTGATTGGTAGGCTTGGCTGTCTCTAGAAGATTTACACAGTTTCAAAGCATTGCTGATTGCGGTTCTACTGATAGCATAAGAAGGCTTGAAATTCAAAAATAAAAGATTCCAAGTTTTAAGAAATGTGGGGAGAGGGAACTTATCATAACTGACATCATTCTGAATATAGAAAAGTCTTCCATGGAGGGAATACTAGGCTCCTGAAACATTAAAAAGCCAGTGGCTTTAAAACATTAAGGAGCTTGAAAGAGTAAAGAAACATCGGAGTAGGAGTAGACTTTTCAAATAAAAAAAACCACTGGTTTTTGCAACACCACTCAACTATAGAAGGATCACTGGAAAAATGGGCAAATTGCAACAACGAATAACGATGGTTTAGTAATCCTTCCGTAATTTATAAAATCAACGTTAATGTAGCAAATAATACGAAGTAATGTATAGTGAGTAAATGCAAGAACGACTAATTACAAGTAGCGAGAAAATAGCAAAAAACCCCCTCTTTTTACTCATTCATCGTGCTTTCAAAAACAAAAAGCTCAAAAAAAAAGTAAAATTTTTGAAGTCAAGCATTAAATAGACAAAAAATAAACTCTAAAACTTTCCACCAACCGCTCACCATTTCCGGAAAACGGCACACTGGCATCAGTTACGTAGAAAAATTGATAGTTCCTCCGGTAATTTTCAACGTGCAAGCAGTGAATGTTTCAATTTTATTTAGAGAAGTAACGAGTTTTTGAGGTATCGCAAACTGGCAGAATTACAGTACCTGTAACCAAGAAGTTTGGCGAAACGTTCTTTTTTGAAATGGCGTTTAGTTTTCACGTTAGGTATATTGCAGGCCTACATGAGCGACCGTAGCCAGTTGGGGAAGCGCATCTTCCAAGCTCGACCCCAGTTCCCATCTATTTTGCGTTGTCCTAATAGCACTTCTGCCTTTTTAACAGAATTTGATCACTTAAGCAGTGTGCGTACTCAGGTGAGTGAAATTACAACATTCACCAAACACAGTCCTTGAGCTCGATATAATAGTTTTCACAAATATCACGTGTCGCAGTCCATGCAGATTACGGTTCCAACACCCAATGATTAGTGAGCTCAAGTAGACGCTACAGAGAAAGCGACACAAAGGAAAAGGATAAGGTCACAAATACAACAATTAAAAACCTTTCTTAATGAGGTTGTTCGAAACCGCTGAGAACGGAAGTGGTCTATTTCGCAACAACTTTTCTAAGCAAAAGAGAGGTAGCTTAAAAAGGGAAGTGTCATGAAACTACAGTGGTTTTCCTCCCCAGTTAAAGGTCTTGAAGCGACTGCGCTAATGTCAGAAGGAAATGAAAGACCTATACGTCTTACGGGTATTTTTTTAGGTATAACTAGAATACACCAGATTGGAGACAGGAAAAACAGCTAGTTGTAACGGAACTGGAATTGAAAGCTATGAAGTCTTTATAGAATCTTGATAGAAAATCGAAATATAACAGAATAAGCAGTTATGTAATTAGCAGCAAAACGACAGTAAAAGCAGTAAACAATGAAACAATTTTTAAGGAACAAAAGCAAGGTAATAAATGACAATTCACTCGTTTTCAGCAAATTATCTTCACTTTAGGGAAAGGTGATTATATTTCAATGCCACTTTTAGAACAGTTCTTACCAACCAAAAATATTTCTTGAACCTCTGACTGACTCAAAAACCTCCGCAGAGTGAAGAGAACTTCTTAGGCTCTGTTTGCTATCGAAGATAGGCCAGCGAGAATGAAATTCAGGAAATAGATTAAACGGAGCAATTTGCAAGACCTCCCAACCCCCCTCTCTGAAATCCTAGTCTTCAGATAAAAATGACTATCTTACGATAATTCAAAACCAGAAAATAAATGTATTTTCGTTTCATGTGTGTAAGGAATAAACGTTTCAGAAATGGTCCTCAATGTTTTCATTTGCTTCACGCAGTCCAGCGTCATATTCTACAACCGTTGACAGTTTTAATGGCCTAGTTTTTTTCGGTTTATAAAAGAGATGCGAAGCAACGGTACTGTGATTAACACTCTTCTACGGTTAGGTCTCAATTTCAAAGCGAGAAAAACACATTTTACTAAAATATCAAAATAAATAAGAGTTTATAAACCTCTCCTAAACTGCAAAATGTTTGCAAATTAGTTTCTCGTAATAAAAAAAAAGAGAAAAGGAATACGTTTTATGGTGGAAACCTCAAATTGTGACAGCTCATTCTCACCTCTTTATGCAGTTTAAAAAGAGTAATTTTAAAGATTGATTAGAGAGCGTAACGAGAAATTTCAACTGGTGCTGATTAAACTGACACTATCCAACGAAGTATCGGTCCATGTCTGCAGCTAATCAGTTGTGCACATTACGACTCATCTATCTTTAGGGAATGTGGCTTAGTATAACTACAATACTACATAAACCACTTATTTAGAGCTGCAGTTATACCAGTTAACTAGTGAAAAGATAATCAGCTCTTCAAGTGAGCCGAAATATTTTGTGATTAAAGTTTATAATACTAGTTTAAAAAATGAAACTTTACTCCATAAAACATGCATAAACTTGCCAATACTACGTGTAATCCAATAACTTTCGGTTTATTCATTAACCAACAACAAGTAAAATATGTTGTGATACCAAGCTCTTCATTTGTAGATCCTTCGCAAATCTTCATATAATAAGTGAACATTAATTAAGAGTTCAAGTAATAACTGTTTAAAGAGAGCCGGATGTTTCAAATGGAAATGTTGTATATATTTTAAGAATAATTTTTACTATTTCAACTGAAATTTGAATGGCGTTCAAATATTATGGAACAATTTTTTTTATCAGCACCGCTGAAAATTCCAAAATAACGAATGCCATCTTAGAATGTCGCAAGATTTCGTGCTGAATAAGAATTCAGTCAGAAATTCATGAAGAGTATTTCAACACAGATACAGATCCACACTGTTCAGCTGATGAACTATACGTGGCTGGTAATTATTTTTAACCAATTTCTTCGCAACCTTCCAGCAGTTGCAATTGTTACAAAGCTGACTTTATTCAAGATACTTTTCCACTCCAAGGCTTGTTGGAGTTTTACTGTTATAAATGCACCTATTATTTGCTCGTAGAAAAAAGCAAACAAATTTCCCAAACCACTGTTTACCTAAATTTCGGCCATACGATAGTTATTTTAATCAAATCTTCGTGGTTCTCAAAAGTTAGTGAATAATTTACAAAAAAATATCATATTTCTTCACTGTCATATTCTTCTGGACACTTTCAAGTAAAATTTAGATGATTAGCCGACTTTAAAGCAGCCTGCGAGAATGACAGATACTTTTTGGTAATTTCTGCGCTTTTCTAGTCGGTTGACATTTTTACCAACCATCGTGTATAACTTTTACAGGTAAACTTACAAAGTCCCAAAAACTATCATACAGTTTGAAACTGATCAGGTAATGCCATATTAAGAAGTGCCAAGATTTATGGGCACATTACTTACACACGTTTCACGCTGCGAGTGTAAATTTACACTTATTGATTTGATTATCTTCTGAAAATTCCAAGCTTTCAAGCGGTAACGAAAGTTATCCTTTATGAGACACTTTCAAGATTTCCGGTATAGAGTAGAATAAAGAAAGCCGCAGTGACTTGTACTAAACACCAATATTTTACCACTTTTTTTTTTTTAACAAATAGTAATTATTAAGCTATAATAAAATACTGCTTTTAAATAAGTCAAAAACAGAAAAGTTGCTAAAACGTTTTTAAATCACACAGCTGGGAAGAGTAGTGGAAAGAAATATGGCTAATTTTGCCACTATTACATTACCGATTTGAATACAAGCTTCTTTCTTTCCTTTCGAAAAAAATGACGTTTCTAAAGGAAGTGGAATTTCAAAAGGAAAAAAAAAAAAGAAGAAAAAGAAAACAGGCTTTGCAAAAAAAGGAACTTTTTTCATATAAAAACTCTGACAAGTTGACAACTTTAATTACCATGCAGTCAACCAGCCAGGCCACACACCATCGCTTAGCCGGAAATTCTTATGCACAAATTACGGATGCGCCATTAGAAATTTCTCTGTTTTGTTGGCTTCTCTCCAGCGACGATCATAGCTCTGGAGAAGATTCAGCAATTAGAAAGCATCTGTTCAAGACGGTATTGCTTTTTATGGGAGCATTCTTGTTTGTTTTCTTTAGCCCGTCATTTAGTGGTTATGTTCTTCTCTGTTGGCTCAGTTTTATAAAATAGCTCAAAAAGGATGAGGAATCGTGCATCCTCTGTTTGGTGCAGACGTCCTTATGTTTGGCTACTGAAGCCGATTAGAAATGGCTTCATTTTTTTTTTCTTGTAAAGGAAGGAATTTTGTGTAGCCTTAAAAAATTGGGTTTTGCTTGATTCATATCTATAAAGTACATATTCTTAACATAGTTAAAGAGTTTTTCATCTTCATTTCAGACTTATACAACTGGAAATCGCTCGAGAAAACCATCTATGAGATGTTACTCTTGCCGGTGTTTTTTTGGTTTTCTGACTTTCTGATTTGTCTTAGGATATCTCAATTTCATAGATTTTTCAATTGTACTATGACTTTCGTGTTGTTATATTCGTTTTAAATTATTGATGACAAATCACTCAAAGTTGTTCTATTTTAGGTACTCCACCAAATGTATTTCTGTTCTTTGGATCTGTAGTCTGCTTCTTCGCCGATGAGTGATGGGGCTTGGAGTTATTGTTGATGATGGTAGTGGTCTTGAGAAATATGTGGAGGTGGATGATCTTGCCCTGTGCTTTTTCGACAGTTTTATAGCTGCTGTTTCTCCGCTTCATGAGTTTAGCTGGTTTGAATGTAAGTTCTTCAAATTTCTGATGGTTACTCAGTTCTGAATTTTTGGAGGATTCGGAAAAGGAAGTTCTTGTTTGAGTGGAAATGGAACCGGGTTCTCGTCAAACAACTTTTGCTGTGTGCTGCGATACTGGTCGCATTTTCAGTTTCCAGAAATGTTCTTGACTTTTTTTAACTAGGTAGTTTAATAATGAGGCTTTCTTATTATAGTTTTAACTGGATTCTGAGTTTAAATTTAGAATAGATCTTGGAGCTTTCCTTCATTTAAGGAAAAACTTGTTTTCAGATGAAGATGATGAAGGGGATATGGTTGCTGTCAGGACCGACGATGAGTTGGCGGCAATGATTGCTTCAGTTGATCATAATGTTCCAATTCATATTTTTGCTAGTGCGTTGTCATTTTGTATAACAAAAAGACAGTTTTCTTTTTTATCCTCTGCCTGAATCTTTTCAGAATGTGAAATAGCAATAGATCCCCCGTCTTTAGTCGATGTTGATAACTGTACAGTCATGCCAGATGCTTTAAAACGATTATCACTTATCTCGTCTGGCAATTCTGGCACTTTATATAAGTCAGTTTTTTATTTTGCTTATTCTTCTGTCAGTTTTCAAAATTACCTGTCTTCTTTTGATTACTATCAGATTACAAGGAAACTTTATGGGCTTTCATTTTAGAACTCTTGATACGAATACTGATCAAATAATAGCTGTCAAATGTATTAGTCTTGACGGTAGTCAAGACATTTTAACAGATCTGCAGCGGGAGACAAATATACTAAGACAAGTATCCTTTCATGAATAGTTCTAATTTTTGAACGTTATTTCAAGGTTTTTCTTTTTTAAATTATGCATATTTTTCCTTCGTATTTTGTCTTGTTTAGCTGAATTATAAGACCTCTCAGAAGTATGT